GATTAACACTGGAATAATATTGTGCAGGTGGTATCAAGGACCAATGTTGTCAGCTCCACTTCATACCTCTCTGTAGACAGGTTGCCAACCTGGAGGCCATGATATGTAGTTCAGGACACTTTTCTCTAGCAAATAAATAAATGCTCCAATCTTCCCAACATTTCAGTGGTGAAAGCTCCATTGACAGAATGCTTGGGAGCAGGCTATGAATTATTAAAACAAACATCCTCATGTTCTGCTATTGCGTGGCTTCCTGTATCAAAATATAAAGGGATTAAGACTCCTTCGTAACTAAACTAAAGCAAAATATGGGCTGCTCAGCTCCTGACATGCACTCACTCTCTCAATTGGGACTTGGACGTAGGCAGAGCAATGGAAATCAGAGTAAGAAGAAGAAGCCACACAGATGCTTTAATATCCGAGAAAAGGATACCAGAGAATCAAAAACAAACTCCAAAACCGTTCTTCTAAAAAAGCTGTTTTGCTGCATTGAACTGTAGACTTCCAGGTATCTACTATACCCCAGGGTGGGCATAGTGAAGCCCTGGGTCCACATCCTGTCCCAAAGGTTGCTTGTCTGGGGCCCATTGTATTCCCCTTCTCCCTCCTTTTCTGGCAGATATGCAGCTATGATGATTCACCTTTTAAATAGGCCATAGTCACCCACCATTTACTACTACAAAGCATCTGTTTTTCAAGGATTTTCAGTCATTTCCAGCTTCAATTTCTGCATTTTCTCTCCATTTTAGGTGGTGTGTGCTGAAGACACAGGAGTATATGCACAGATTTTTCTATCTTTAACAAAATGGCATGTTCCCAACACATCAAGATATTCTGTCCAGAAAAAAAAAATGACTACTGTGAGGTTAGTTGCTTTGTTTTGTTTTTGTTTTGTTTCTGTACAAGAAAAAAGACAGGCCATTTTTTCTTTTTTTTATAGGAGCATCAGGAAAAAAAACTGTGGCTTATTACTAAAATCTATTTATCATTAAATGTGTTTTGCATATAAAACTTTTTTCTATGTAGCACAGAAGTAGTATTGCACAGAAAATTGTTTTCACAAAAAAGTGTGTGGCTTTATTTTTACAAAAAAATATATAATCAGGAATTCAAAAAGTCATGAAAACTCTCATAAACTCATTCAGCCAGAACAGACATATTTTAATCTTTTGTTCTCATTTCTGAGTACAAAATAAATTGTGATTTACATTCCTAATCCATGCAGCTGCCATTGGAAATCAGCCTCTGGACCCACCAAAGTTGTTCATGACTACTGTATACATTTCTTTATATGCCAGATTCTGATGCCTTTCAGAATCTCTCAACCAGTAATGGCCACTACCCACACTAGCTGGAGCTTCTGTGAGTTGGCATTCAGAAAAAAAATGTCTCCAACCTCTATATTTATATTTTTCCAATGTTTCCAACAGTATCTCTTGTACTCCAGTTATGCACTCCAGCCCTGAATGAAGTCAATGGATACATTTCCTGTCCTCATGGAAGTTGCTGTGAGAGTACAGGACTTGGTGTGTGTGTGTGTGTGTGTGTGTGTGTGTGTGTGTGTGTGTGTGTGTGTCTAAGCCCCTCCTCATTGGCTCGCACGCGAAAGCCATCCTCACCAGTCACAACCAAGAGACTCTTTCTGCCACCAGCTGGGATTGATCCGACAGTTTTGCCTTCTTGTCTCATCATTCTGTCATCACCCTCCTCCTCTTCCTTTAGATCAGCCTCCTTTCTTTGCACCAGAGGCCAAGGCCAAGACATAATGAGGAACATCACAATGGAAGAACATCCTTGCCTTACTTCAGCAACAGAGAACAAGTGAGCCAGAAGTGATGCTCAAGATCCAACAGCTAGCCTGGAGGCAGCAAAACACAGACATGGAAACCTGATGCCAAGGGAGGTACAAAATCTATTCATACTTCAAACTACAAAAATGATAACTGTCTTACATAAATATGAATATCACACTCCACATTCACAAAGTATAAGAGGCATTACTAGTATGAGATACCAACAAGGTTCTTTCTTTTGAAAATGTTGTGCAAAGATTGGCAACAAAATTCCTTGTGCATTGTTCAAAATAGGGCATTTGAAATCATGTACTGCTAATGGCTCCATACTCAACTGCATATCTCTATTCATAAGCAAGAACTTCCTGATGTTGGGTTTGACTTAACTTTTCAGATCATTCTTAAACTCAGAGAACGAGGATTAAACCAGATGTAATGCTTCTGTGTCTTTGCCCCGTTTTCAGACAGATAGCTATTTAGTCTGCTTCAGCAACAAGAAAAATGAAAACAAAAACATGGTAGGCTCTTTAAGACTAAGAAATGTATTATAGTGGAATAACTATTCTGTTTTTTCTGATTAAAAAAAAGCAAAGTAGTTTTAGAAACAATAATATTCTCTAAAATAGAGAAAAGGCAGGCAGGCAGGAACTTTACTTGTTGCAGTTTCTCATTTTCTGCCAAATTTAGAGTTGTCTAGCTGGCATCTAGAATAGATGTGGCAATTTAAGAGGAAGACAGAAGAGAAACTAGAAAAGAGCTATATGACCTAAGTATAAGACTGTCATACAATAAATCTGGACATGTAGAACACACATTTTAAAAATGGTTAAATGGAGGTGAGAGAGAAGGAATTATTTTGGGATGCAATTCTTAAAAACCAGAGTTCAATTCAGTATGGTCCAGATGGCAACCGCCTCAACTTAGTCACAAGCAATATGAATTAACTGTCTCAGCTTTAATATGGGATCACCAGAAGGTTTTAGGAATATAAATAACTCACAATGTGGTGGATAGAGACAACTATCAGTATATCTTAGCCATAAATTGGGGGGTGGGGTGGAAATGACCTGACTCGTTATATTGATGAATCATAGAATAATGGAGTTGGAAGGGGCCTATAAGGCCATTGAGTCCAACTCTCTGCTCAACCAGGAATCCAGATCAAAGTATTTCCACCTCCTGAGGCAATTTGTTCCATTGCCATACTGCTCTAACAGTTAGAAAGTTCTTTCTGATATCCAACTAAAATCTGGCTTTCTGTAACTTGAGCCCATTATTATGTGCCCTGCACCCTAGGATGATTGAGAACAGATCCTGCCCCTCCTCTGTATGGCAACCTTTCAAGTATTTAAAAAGTGCCATTATATCTCTCCACTCAAGACTAAACATACCTAGTTTTTTCAGTCATCGGGCTTAGTTTCCGGTCCCCTTATCATCCTTGTCACCCTCCTCTGAACTTGCTCCAGTTTGTTGGCATCGTTCTTAAATAATTGGACACGGTACAAAATATGAGGCCCTAACCAGTGCTGAATAGAAGGGGACTAGTTCTTCACATGGAGACTATATTTCTGTTGATGCAGCCTTAAATAGCATTTGTCTTTTAGTTGAAGCTGAATCACCCTATTGGCTCATATGCTTCTCACTTGTAGTATTACTGAGCCAAGTACCTCCCATTTTGTAACAGATTGCTTGGGTTTTTTTTTGTCCTTAGGTGTACAACTTTGCACTGTTAAATTCCATTGTGTTGTTTTCACCCCAATGTCTGAGCCTATCAAGACATTTTTGATTCCCCCCCCCCAGCTTCCAGGCATTAGCCATCTCACCAAATTTTGTGTCAATCCCTAGATTTGATAGTCTTTGCACTACCACCCTGATCCAAGTCATTAATAAAAATGCTGAAGAACCTTGGTCCCAAGACCGAGCTTTGTAGTACCCCACTTGTTATTTCCTCCCAGTCTGAGAAGGAGCCATTGATACACACTCTCCAAGTACAATTCTGTAACCAACTGTGTATCCGCCTGGTAGTTATTCTATCCAGCCCACACCTAGTTAGCTTGCTAATCAGAGTATCATGGGGTATTTTGTCAAAAGCTTTGCTGAAGTCAAGATATATTATGTCTAAGGCATTCCCATCATCTACCAATCAAAAAAATGTGACATGAATAGCCTGGCAGGAGTTCTTGACAAATCTGTGTTGGCTTCTATTTATTAATGCATTATTTTCAAGATGTAAATAAGAGCAATGAAATAAATATCACAAAGCACCTTATACTCGGGAGTGTGTGTTAAAATACTTTGACTAAAAAGATTTATAGATTTTTAAAGATTTTCCTCAAAGATAATTAAGAGAGGTTTTCATGTATCCTTCTATAGTGGGGAGAGTAAACTTTATTCTGTTGAAGGCTCCATTCCTTACACCAGGGGCGGGCAATTAATTTCTATAGGGGGCCACATGAAAAATCTGAACTGTGTTTGGGGGCTGAACCAACTTTACCTAAAAATAAAAGATAAGCTACTGATCAACTTTAGACAAAAAGCTATAAAAGGTTTTGATGTTCAACTTGTTCAGTGAGAGAAATCCAGTCTGTCTTGGGCTTGAACAAGTGCTTGAACACTGGACTGGAGCACCAACCAGTGGGCCGGACAGGAGCGGCTCACAGGCCATATGTGCCCCTCGGGCTGTACTTTGCCCAGGTCTGCCTTACACACTATCCATCAGGAGCACCATTCAAGGCAGGAATGGAGCCAACACTGGTGGGTCCATTTGTTTTCTCTCTCTTTCCCCACCTTCCTGCCACCCTTTTCCTCTCTCATATATACCCATCTCTCTCCCCCTCAACATTGCCCCCTCCATCTTTCTCTCCCCCAAAACGTCCTCTTAATCAGCATGCTGCCAGGAAAGGGTAGGACATGTATGGCAGAGATGTGAACTGATGACTTATAGAGGGCTTTTGAAATTAGACTAAGGGCAGGATGCTATCCTAAGGTGACAGGTTGATGTTTCATTCTATGTAGTAAGTGAAAACAAATCTAATTTTTGCCTACATTTTTGACAGTCCTGATAGCACACATCATATTTTGGTCTAGTACAGAGTTACTCACACTGCTCTCCTCATTTTACTTGTTGCCCTCTCCTGCCCTCAGTGATATCATAAAGCAGATAACAGATGATCAGCTACATCATACTTTAATGTCATCATCCTTTTTCACCATGCAGTCCTATATTTGGTGTGGTCATCCACTGGACTGATTTAAGATAGAGGAAGCAAGAGGATCCAGAGACAATAACAGCAAGATTTTAATAGGTAAAATATTTATATACGTTTTTGCAGGTTGGTTTTTTTTTATAAACTGAAATTCTGTTTTTAGGTACAAGCTAGTAACTGGAGGATACTTGACACTGCTGTAGTGAATTACATTTGTGAGCCTAGGATCATCAAATCGGTTTCAAAATGTAGGTCTCACCACTTTGCCTAATGTTGATTTAAACAACAAGGAGTTACCTTTCAGATGGAAATTTACTCAGAAACTGAGTAAAGCAATATATTCTTGACACTAATTCTTAGAATAAAATTAGAGACCAAGCTGCTCTATTCCACCTTGAGAGAATGCACAATTATCTGACTTCATATTTGGAATAAACATGAATTTGTTATTGAAGCAACAGTTTTCCCTACTTTTTTAAAAAAAAGTGAGGATGGGCATAGAATTATAGAACAATAGCTGAATAGCTATTGATGTTTCACTGTGACAGGAACCATAGTTTATTTCTCAAGTTGCCAATTTAACCATCTTCTTTATTTCTTACAATTCCCTTCCTCCCTTCCTTCATTTTAGCTATTCAGTAGAACAGGCAGTTCTTAGGGGTGACAAAGTACAGATAAATACAGACTTGCAAAATAAATATAGTGAAGAGGTACATATCCTTCCTTTCACTCCTACATGTCACAAATGCCTCAAAATGTTCATCAGATTTCAACAATGTCAAAAAACTAAGTTGGGGACTACTTTAATATTCACATAAAAAAGCAAAGTTTAGCATATTATCTCCCACAAGATGGTAGAGAAAATACAATTTTTTTTCCGATTTCATTTCACTTATATCTTTAAACATGCACAGGCCAAGTCTTTCTAATATATCAAAGCTCATTGGAATTAGGAGGCTCAAAGACTTGATAGTAGTCAAATATTTCATTAAATATACAAGCAATCATTAGGGTCCTCAGAAATCATCCTGCACTCACCTATGAGGTAAGGGAGAAAGTGAATTGATGTAACTTTGGGCTCTCACAGTTGCAGAAGTGTGAAAGGAGAGTCAGAGCTAGCTGACCATTTCCTTCATAACCTACAAGCACAAAGCCCTTCCTTGGGTCAGAAGTTGGCCATCTCAACTATTACATACGCAAATGTAAATAAAAACAGCATTTATTTCTTTTTGTCTCAGAAAAATATCATCATTTCTCCTGTTGAAAGTGTTGTTTCACATTTCCTTATCCACTGGCACAATGAAAGCACATGATGGACATGTTAACTCCTACAATGTTCTAGATTTTTATTCAGTCTATATTTTGAAGCAAATCATCCTGCAAATTGCACAGACCAAAGCAAAGTGTGTTCCTTATATACTGCCCCATAGCACTTAAGTGGTTTACAATTCAATTGTGCAGGCTACACATTGATCTCCCTCCCACCTCATCCCTAGCAAGCTGGATACTGTACTCAATTTACCAACCTCAGAAGGATGGAAGGCTCAGTCAACCTCAAACCAGCTACCATAGCCTAGCGGGCTCAAGCTCATGAGCAGTCTTTGACTACAGTACTGCAGTTTGAGCACTGTGCCACAGCCTGGCCATGAGGCTCCTCATGCAGACCCACACACAGTTGGAATTTAATATGTCCGTGGACTTGGTCATGTACCTCTGATTTTAAGGGAGGAAGGGAGGAAAAGAAAGAAAAGAAAATAAACTCTTAATCAATTGCAGAAATCTTACATTTAGAAAGGCATGCCTTCAATGTTTAAATATGTATTTTAGTTTTTAACATTTTTAAAGAAAAGGAAGCTAAAAACTGAACTTCCAAGTAATATCCATCAAGAAAGGACAACTGAACATCTTACTCGAGATTTGAGAATACTAACATTCAAGCAATGAAAACTGATGGCAAAAATGATAGACATTTCTTGTGAATACCACCAGATTCCTGTGTGTGTAGCAAAAGGTATTTTTTTTTCCTTATTTATATGCAGCAGCAATTTAGATAGCTACTTTACATTGTTTTCCGCTCCCCATTTTATACTATCCCTCCCCCTATAAAAATTGTAAGGTTCCTAAGAATACAAAGTAAGCTTTGCGACTAAACTTGGGTCTCCCTGATTTAAGTCCCATAGTAATCGTTATACTACAGTGGGGTCTTGACTTGAGAACTTAATCTGTATTGGAAGGCGGTTCTCAAGTCAAAAAGTTCTCAAGTCAAATCTGCATTTCCCATAGGAATGCATTGAAACCCATTTAATCCGTATCTGCTCTTTTCCGTCCATAGAAACTAATGGGAAGCTGCTATTCTGCCTTCGACCACTAGAGGGGGATATTTTGTTTCTTTTTTTCTTAGGTCAAGAAAAGTTCAGGGAAGGCAGGGAAAATACAGTCCAGGCAGTCCAGTACCAGGCAGTCCGAAGACTGTCTCCCAATCCGCTCTCTAAACGCTGGGAGGAGTGAGGAAGCAGACAGGCACCCTTTTCACTGGCCAACAGTTAACTGAAAGTTCAAATTTTGCACTTTCCCTGCCTCCCACGTGGGTTTTTTTCAGTTCTTAACTCAAATCTAAGTACTTAAGTCGAGTCAATATTTTCCTATGAGAGTGGTTCTTAAGTCAAAATGTTCTTAACTCAAGCCGTTCTTAAGTCAAGACCCCACTGTATACTGGCTGCTTCTGATCAGAAGACACTACAGTATTTAAATGATGCCAAGAATGAAACATACTGATAGAAAAACAAAGCATGTATTTAATTGGCATAATATGGGGGGAAAAGCATATTAATGTGCATACATGCAAATTTGCATAATAGGCAAATAAGGCTGCCTAATAATAATTTGTATAATATGCAAATAAGGCTTCCTGGGTTTGGAGAAGTAGAGTATGGCAACCCTAGTTGTGACCCATGTAGACCATCTGGCTCTTGGAACAAGTCCATTAATTCGTTTGCCAGAATACTTCATTTCAAGGATGAGAAACCAATCATTAATTTGAAAGGCAAAGCTCATTTCATTCACCCAGGTTTTCTAGTATACAAGTTTAGAACACAAGGGGCAAAAGAAAGCTCTGATCTAATCAACTAGAGATGCCAACTAGGGAAAAGTCAAACTATCTCAAGTTTATCTTCACCACAAGCTAGTCTTACTCTGGAGGAGGGATTACTCCAAGGTTTTAAGAAAAAAAAATGCAGCGCCAGGACTCAGCTCTCAATCAGTAACAAAATACCCCCAAAATATGTACAGTGGGTTCACCTCACAACCTCAGCAAACGACAACTACTTCAAGACTAACTGCCAGTCATTTATGATGGAAACACGCAAACTCCTTGCTAATTCCTTGAATTGCCCCTATCCCAGTCACAATTAAAGGGAAGGGGAGCATTCCTTAATCAGAAATCAGAGATCCCAGCTAGAGCTAAGGATGTCATTGTTTTAAATTTAGCTCCTGAAAAGGAGCCTTATGTACATAGGTAGGTATTCAAGATGTGAGATGACAGATAAAAATAATGAGCACAGACCCTGAAATTTGATTACACTGATGGGGGTGCTGCACTTTTGCTTTCTTACTCTGATATGCTTTTAAATTACTTTCTATATAGTTGATGTTTTAATATGATAATCTGATTCTGTGTTTTAGCATTGTAGTTTACAGGTTTTAAAATGCATTTTCCCATGATTGTGAGCTGTCTCAGGTCCCACTAGTGACACAAAGGCATAATATTTATTTGTT